TACCATATACGTTTGAATATATACTGAATACATATTTATGTATATACTTCTAAATAGTGGTATACTTCTATTAAAATATATATGTAGTATGTTATGCTATAGGTTAATATGTTTACTATAGCTAAAATGTTTGTTGAATTTGTTCAATATAATGTTTTAACAAAATATTGCCAAGTAGAAATCATGTTTTATTATTTATTTTTTAAAAATATTTATTTTTTATCGGAAAGTCAAATATATAGAGAGGCGGAGAGAAAGAGAGGAAGATCTTCCAGCTGATGATTCACTCCCCAAGTGAGCCACAATGGCCAAAGCTGAGCTGATCCGAAACCAGGAACCAGGAGCTCTTCCTGGTCTCCCATGCAGGTACAGGGTCCCAAGGTGTTGGGCCGTCCTCAACTGCTTCCCACCCAGCTTCGTGGGCAGCTGGGATTAGAACCAGCGCCCATAGGGGATCCCAGAACGTGTAAGGTGAGGACTTCAGCTACTAGGCTACTGCACCGGGCCCCAAACCATGTTTTTTTTTAATTGCAATTTCTATTAATGTTCAAAAATATACTTTCTTAACTCTGTTAGGAAGGCATTTTCTTCTCATGTTTTAAGAAACGTGAAGGCCAACCAGTTAGGAGGAAATTGGATACTTTCCTGGCCAGCGCCCAAGGCACCAAGTTTCACTGTGACCCAGATTTGGTCTTGGAAGCAGATCACAGATGCCAAGGGAAGTCAGGTTTGTACTCCGGCTCCTCCAAGTCACCCAAGTGGTTTGCTTGGAAAGAAGTCTGGGAAGAACGAGCTAGAGGCTGTACTTATTTGGTAAATACATACAGATGGCATTCATCCACAGCAGCACCTGCTACCCACAGGAAGCAAAACACTGGGAAACACACCTGTTTCTGCTGTACAACAAAGACTGAGTAGATGCTCTTTGTAGGATTTACTTGTATTTCCAAATCAAGTCTATGGCTTAGCACCTGTTAAAGCAAGCCGGGTAGGCCCAGAAGAATAGCTCAATTGGCTAATCCTCCACCTTCAAGCACCAAGATCCCACGTGGGCACTGGTTCGTGTCCCAGCTACTCCACTTCCCTGGGAAGTGGCCTGCTTGTGCCCTGCTTGTGACCTGGGAGAACAGTGTAAGATGGCTCAAAGCCTTGGGATCCTGTACCCAGCTCCTGGCTCCTGGCTTTGGATCAACTCAGCTCCATCCATTGTGTTCATCTGGGGAATGATCGAAGGGAATGGAAGATCTTTCTCTCTGTCTCTCCTTCTCTCTATAAATCTTCCTGGTTAAAAAAGAAAGATTGGTCCTCCAGGATGCCTATCAATGTCTGCAGTCATGTGTGCAGTCCCGGCAAACACCTCACGACCAGGCTCCAGTGAGCTGCGTCACTTGGCTGTGTGGTTAGTCGCAGGACCAGCCTCCGTGCATCCTTCTCAGCCACCTATCCTCCGGCCGGGTGAAGCTCTCAATACCAAGGCCTTAGGCTTCTGGCTGGCTTTAGGGCGCAGGAACTCCCAACTCGTGTGTGACTCATTTTGTTTTGCATAGCCTAACTCACCCTCATCCTTAGCTTCCTTTGGCCTTGCAGGAGGGGAAGTCCCAGTAGGTGGCTAACTCCTGACTGACTGGGTGAGGAGACATGTGTTCCACTGGGAGCTAGGGGATGAGGGAGTCATTTAGGGTCTTCTCTGAAGAACTTTATGCTGCTGAAGCTTGTCCCATCCAGCAGGACAGTCAACCTGGGTCACAGCCAACCTAGGAGAGAACGGGGGACAAAAGACACAAAGAACGGACAGCAAGGCAGGATGTCTGATCAAGCTGTCACTTTATTATTTTCGATTGAGGATTTTTATATTCTTCAGTAGCTAAGGCTGTGGGAGGGAAGGTGAAACTGGGACACAAGCCATGGTCTCAAGACCGATTGTTCTTGAGCAACCACCATATCAACAATAGGATAGGTAACAAGTAACAAGATGTTGGCAGGTACAACATAAATCACATTCTGAAACAATTGCTAGAAACAATTGAAACTAGGCCTGCGGTCAGCTTCATGGCCTCTTTTTCCCAAGCATCTAGCCAGCCGGGGGTATTCCACTGGCCTGTAGTTCTATATTCAAAATGGCTTCAGTGTGGCTCTAGTACACGGCTCCTGACAGAAGCTCAAGACATTCCATGAGTCTTGGGAGGAACATCCTCTGCAAGGGCTCTTGCAGAAATGTAGCAATCAAGTGACATTAGACACGCCATGCTTACTCATTGGCCAACGGGTATTTCACACGTGCCTCCTTGGGACATTTCCCATGCATGCAATCTCAGCAATCCTGAAGACTGAGGTTGGGAGTGGCACCATTTGGGTTCAAAGCAGCCACCATCTAGGGACAGGCTTTTGGCTGGACACGGAACATCTTTATTCCCTCCTGGAGTGCCTAGTTTTGGGTCCCAGCTCCACCCGTCCCCCCCCCATTTCAGCACAGCCTGGGAGGCAGCACATGAGGGTCCTGCTCAACCAGGGCTGAGCAAGCTCAGAGACAGAACATCCCAAGAGTTATGAAAAAATTATTTAGCTTTCCAGCCCTTACAATTCTTCCTCATTTGGCGGTCTGCTCAACTTTTTCTAAGGGGTATACTCTCCTTGGTCTTAAACCTTTGCCACTTTTTCTGGCTGTGCATTTCAGCTAGGTTAAATTCTCTGCCGGGGTTCTAAGAACCCAACTTTCACCAAAATGTGACCCATGTGTGAGACCCACAAGGAGTTCCTGGCTCTTGACTTCAGCCTGGCCCAGCCCTTACTGTTGTAAGCATTTGGGGCTTGGGGTGAACCAACAGATGAAGGCTCACTTCCATCTCTCTCCTTTTCAAATAAGTACGTTAAAAAAAAAATTGAAGTCCGCCATTGTCCAGGTGTGTGACCTCGGTAAGTTTCTGATATCTGTGGGTTATGATTGCTTCATTAATAAAATAAGGACCATACTGGGGGGTGGGACACGCTGGGCTAGGCTGCAGCTTCGTCCCTGGGTGTGGAAGTAGTTTGACAGCAAAAGGCATAGCCCCCACCATACGGACACAGGAAAAAAAATGGAAGCATGTGCCCCATCCACTTTCCCCTATACATTGACCCTCCCCACTCTATAATCAAAAACCCACGTGAGTGTCCATGCTTCTCAACTCTGTAAGCAATATTAAAAATAAAATTTTAAAATAAGGACTAGAGTATGCTCCACAGGGCTGTGGAGAGAATCCAACGAGATGTACATGTGAAATTTATCACTTTGATGATAAATATTTGTACCAATAGATATTTGTACCAATAAATATTTAGGTAAAAACAAGAAGATTGTTTTATTGCACTGTTGGTAAAAAAAAGAACCATTCTTTTGTAACTATCAAACTTGACACATACTATAACGAGAGGCCAGGACTGTGTCTTATCAGCACTCAAATCTCAGGGCTTTTTTTGTATTTGTGAATTTTATTTTATAGAAAGTATAAAAGTTTGGCAGTTAACCAACCAATGGGTGGTGAGAGGTAAAGTAAGAACCTCAGACTTAGAGACATGAATTTTAAATATCTTCGAGTGCCGTGGGGTCTTAAAACATTCACCAGAAATTCTAAAGCTCATTTGGAAAAAAAATATATATATGATTCTAGCCAAGAAATATTGAGAAACAACAACCAAATGTAATCTGCATATGGAAAGACTTAAAACCACAAGGCATTCAAACTCCACCACAGCACAGCAAATGTGACACAGCACTGGGGTGGTTCACTCGGCGTTAGTCCGGGCAGACCGACAGGCGTGGGCACAGAACACAAGGTTTCCACCGCGACGCATGGGTTCGGGACGAGGCAGGTGGCAGGTGCTGAGGAGTCCCTCCGTGCTACACAGAGACCAGCGAAGGGCACCTGGAAGGGCATGTGCCCCCCCCCCCCGGAAGCAGCAGCCACGGATCGCTAAGCAGAATAGGACTAAAACTTCCCAGAAAATAACTTAGAAAACATTTCATATATGTATTTTTGCCTTTGGCTCAGCAAACTAGATGTTTCTGACTTCTACAGTTTGAAAATCGGGCCTCTACAATAAAACACGACGTTGTAAGGGGAGAGGAAATTACAGAACTTACAACCATTCTGAGCATTTTTGCAGCCGGGAGAATACCATCTAACATGGGAGAAAATCTGCTAGATTGTGTTAAGTTGCATACATCTCAATGATGGCAAACGTGCAACGGATATGCCTGGAAAAACAACGGTGGATAAGTACCAAAATATTAAATGCAATCGACTCTGGGAGTTAAAATCTCTAGGAGAGATTTGAGCACTCTTTCCTATTTATGCAACAGGTTTAAAAGGTGTTTAAAAAAACAATTGTACAATTCAGAAATTGCCTTTGTTGAAAGCATGAAAGGACATGAGATTGTACTAGCCTGGAAGCCCCTAGAAGTGCTTTCCAAGGCCACCTGCTAGTGGGTGAGTCATGGACACAGGTTCTCACCTGCCTCCGCAGACGCCAGGCTGGCTGCGGGGGTAATTTCCAAGCGAAATGACCCAGCGCGCAAACGGTCACTTCAGCAGTCGCCCCGCAGCCCTGGCAACTTCCGCTCTTTGTAAACAGAGGCCCTGGAGCCGGCCTTTGCACGCTCCGCTAAGCACCCCCGAGCGCAGGTTTGGAGGTGCGCAGTTGCTTAGGGTGCCGGGGCCAGAGGCGCGCACGGCCGCCCAGCAGCAGCAGGGAGGCGCGGCCTGGGAAAGGCCCTGGGGCATGACGCTCCGAGGGCGGAAGGCGACCTCTTTGAAGTCTGCCACCTTTAATAAAACCACCAAGACCGATTAAACCCAGTGACCAAGGGCCAGCCACGAGATCCCCAGTAGGGACTACAAAGGGTCGGGAAACTTGAGCTGGGACTTGCAGTGGAAACTCCCGGCGGGTGGTCACCTTGGTAACGGATTCTGCAGCCAGGAAGCCATTTGGAGTCAGAGGGCGACCCTGCTCACCCGGCCTGGCCTCACGGCTGGCCCCCCGGCATGCCCCGCCCCCGGCCGCGGCTGCCCGAGCGGGCGACTGACCCTCGGCAGCTCCTGTAGTCACGTGGCGCTGGGAACCCGGCGGGGGGGAGGTTGGGGACGGGCCTGGCAGTTGTGAACTCGAACCTGCGGCTGTCGCCGTGCCGGGGTTGGGGAGTGGGCCGTGCAGGCCGGCCTGCGGGTTCCATGGACGCGCGCTGCGGCCGTGCACAGCCCGCCGGAGAGGTACGGCGGAGACGGGGGGTGCGGGGGTCCCGGCGGGCCGGCGGGGGCAGCTCCACCTGCGAAGCGCGTGACCGTGTGTGCGAATGTGTCTGCGCGCAGAAGGGGGGCGGTTGTTGCTGCCTCGGCGGGCGGAGGCGGATGCACCTGCGCACAGGCGGGGTGCGCTGCGTGGTGCGTGGGACCCGTGTGTCCGCGACCGTGGATGGAGAACACACACCAATACAAAAGCGGTGCTGCTGGTGGTGGCGGTGTGTGGGCCTCTAAATACCCTTGGCCACCTAAGATGCCATCTCCGGGATCCTACCCGAGGCCTCCTGGTCACACTGGCGTGCCCTCCCCCCCCCGTGGGAAACAGGCTTGGAATTCCTGGGGGAAGAGGAGCCTGTTGGGGATTCCAGAGTTACTGTGGGAGGCAAAAGCGAGGACCCTGGCCACGGAAAAAACAGGGTGGCTTCTGCAACCTCAGCGGTGGAGGAAGTGCTCAAAGGTGGCACTGTACCGGCGGAGGGGCGCCCTGTTTATCAAATCTAATGTGCATTAAGGTCACTGCCAGGCAGGGTGCAGGGCTGGGGGGACGGGGGAGGGCAGGGCTCATGGTGCGGGGCTCTGGGGGGACGGGGGCAGGGCTCATGCGGGGGCTTTGGGTGGGCAGGGGGCGGGGGCAGGGGCAGGGCTCATGGCCAGTGAGGACCACCCCGGAAGGCTCAGGAGCTCACCTGTTTTCTCTCCCCTCCCCACAGGTAAGGCTGACCTCTCAGCAGCCGGAGGTCTGAGCTCTGCCATGGGCGTAGGGGTGTCTCTACTGCTGCAGTTGTGTCTGACATCTGGGGGCTCCCAGAGCTTGGGCCGAAGCCGGCGCTGCAGCCGCGGAAGCGTCCCCAGGAAGAGCTGGCCGAAGCCTTCTCTCCAGCCCAGCGGCCTCCAGGGTAGTGTGGCTTTTGTTGTGTTTACAGAACCCACTGCCCAGCGCCTCGGGCAGAGGACCAGGGGTGGTGAGGGGAAGGAGTCCTTCCCTGCGTCCTCTGGGGGCTTGGGGGAGGTGGTGTCTTCCTGTGTGCCCAGCCTGGCACTGGGCACCAGTCCAGTCTGTGCAGCCCTGGAGGAGCCAGGGCTGTAGCAAGGTGAGGAGAGATGCGTCTGGAGCCCCCGGAACATCCCCTAGGGCTCTAACTGCCAGCGCAGCCCTTGCTCTGTGTAGGAGGCACTCGTGTAGGAATCTGCCTCACACCCACACACCTCGAAGCTGGGCAGCGCTTGGCAAGGCTGGGGCAGGACCAGGCAGGGGACACATTACAATCCCTACCTCCTGCGCCCTTTCTTGCCCCACTCATCCCCAGCACCCCAAAGGAGGCAAAATCAGAGATTGCCTCCCCCGCCCCCACAGCAGGGCAGCAACTGGGGGGGTTCCTTGGGTTCAGGGAGAGCGTTCCTTCCTGCCATGTCCTCGGGGGGGTGAGGGGAGGGGAGGGCAGGCAGGTGGAACTTGGGCAGTGGTGACCTGGGGCAGGACTGATGGGAATAGCCCCCAGTGCTGCTCCCTAGCCCGCCACCCTTCTGTCCTGTGAGGCTACGGCTTGTGCCACCAACAGGCCTCCCCTGTGATGGGCTAGGCATGGAAAGCTATAGAAATTCCATTCTCTGAGATGCTTGCAGGTCCAGCTGGGGCGGGAGGGAAAAGAAAGGACATTGAGAGCAACCGCGGAAGCCCTCTGACAAAGCCTCAGGCACCGGAGAGTGAGGAGACCTCCTCCCAGAAGGGTTGGAACAGCCAGGCCTGGTGCCTGACACAGGGGTAGCTGCTGTAAGGGGGGTTCCAAGAAGTGTCAGAGCCCCCTCTCCTGGAAGTTTCCAGAGCAATAAAGACCTTAAGACAAACATCTTGAGAGCTTATCCAGAAGCCCTTGGTGAAAACACTATGTACGGGACGAAGAAACCTGTTGACCAGTCTAGAAGGAAGCAAGCCTCTCCCAGTTCCTAGCTTGTAGGTAGCCCTCGTCTGGGGACAAGTGGGTCCTTGGTGGGCTCCAGAGTGACCATGCGTTTCCACCTCCTCCCCAGCAGAGGAAGCACCCATGCTGGAGCATCGCTGTAGGGGCCCCCTGGCCACTGGCCCAGCCCAGCCCGGGCTCGTTTCCAGGACCCCCCAGGAGCCACCCCAGAACCTGGAGAAGGAGTCCCGCAGACTGAAGCAACAAGGCCCCTCGGTGGTCCAGTCTCCTGGCCCAACCCCAGGCAGGGCCCATCGCTGCGCTCACTGTCGAAGGCACTTTGCAGGCTGGGTGGCCCTGTGGCTTCACACCCGCAGGTGCCAGGCCCGGCTCCCCCTGCCCTGCCCCGAATGTGGGCGGCGCTTCCGCCACGCCCCATTCTTAGCCTTGCATCGGCAGGTCCATGCTGCTGCCACGCCACACTTGGGCTTCGCCTGCCACCTCTGTGGGCAGAGCTTCCCTGGCTGGGTAGCCCTGGTTCTGCATCTGCGGGCGCACGCAGCTGCCAAGAGGCCTTTCGCTTGTCTGGAATGCGAGAGACGTTTCTGGAGACGAAAGCAGCTTCGAGCCCACGTACAGCGATGTCACCCACCTGCCCCTGAGGTCCGACCCTTCATATGCGGCAACTGTGGCCGGAGCTTTGCCCAGTGGGATCAGCTAGTCGCTCACAAGCGCGTGCACGTAGCCGAGGCCCTGGAGGAGGCAGCAGCCAAGGCTCTGGGGCCCCGGCCCAGGGGCCGCCCTGCGGTGACCGCCCCCAGACCCGGTGGGGACGCAGTAGACCGCCCCTTCCAGTGTGCGTGCTGCGGCAAGCGCTTTCGCCACAAGCCCAACCTGATCGCCCACCGCCGCGTGCACACGGGCGAGCGTCCTCACCAGTGCCCAGAATGCGGGAAGCGCTTCACCAACAAGCCCTACTTGACTTCGCACCGGCGCATCCACACCGGCGAAAAACCTTACCCTTGCACTGAGTGCGGCCGCCGCTTCCGTCACAAACCCAACCTGCTGTCCCACAGCAAGATCCACAAGCGGTCGGAGGGATCTGCTCAGGCAGCTGCAGGTGCTGGAACCACCCAGCTTCCAGCTGGGCCCCTGGAGCCGCCCGCGGAGGCTCTTCTGAAGGCAGCTCAGGGGCCAGCCCCGGAGTCCGCGGGGGAGTCGTTCGCAGAACCCCCGCAGCACCAGCCTGAGACCCCCGCCTTGCTCTACAGCTGCGATGACTGCGGCAGGAGCTTCCGGCTCGAGCGTTTCCTGCGAGCGCATCAGCGCCAGCACACCGGGGAGCGGCCCTTCACCTGCACCGAGTGCGGCAAGAACTTCGGCAAGAAGACTCACTTGGTGGCGCACTCCCGGGTCCACACTGGCGAGCGGCCCTTTGTCTGCGAAGAGTGTGGGCGCCGCTTCTCCCAGGGCAGCCACCTGGCCGCCCACCGGCGCGACCACGCCCCCGAAAGGCCTTTCGTCTGCCCCGACTGCGGCAAGGCTTTCCGCCACAAGCCCTACCTGGCAGCCCACCGGCGGATCCACACCGGCGAGAAGCCCTATGTCTGCCCCGACTGCGGCAAAGCCTTCAGCCAGAAGTCCAACCTGGTGTCCCACCGGCGCATCCACACCGGGGAGCGGCCCTACGCCTGCCCCGACTGTGAGCGCAGCTTTAGCCAGAAGTCCAACCTCATCACCCACCGCAGGAGCCACATCCGGGACGGCGCCTTCTGCTGCGCCATCTGCGGCCAGACCTTCGACGACGAGGAGAGACTCCTGACCCACCAGAAGAAGCACGACGTGTGAAGGGGCAGAGGTGCGGGTGTCACAGCGTCTGGTGGAGAGCAGAGGCACAGTAGTTTCCTTAGCGCTGGTTTGGGGGCAACCCTCTGGGGACAGGAAGCCAGTGAGCGCGGCGCAGGTAGGGAGTTCCACACCCTGCCCCCTTCCTGCCCCCAGCAGCCAGGGCATGCTTGTGTTGGCTCATGTTGGAGCCTGACCGGCCTGTCCTCTGCGCGAGTAGCAATAGAAGCTTCGGCTACCCCTTAGAGCCCAGCGGTGTAGGGGATCCTCCCCGCGCAGAGAGGGCAGCCCTCGCCACCCGCTTCCCAGTGCTCACGCCTTAATGCCCCTGTCTTCTCCTAGGAATTACTCCAGTTTTTGCAAGTACGTAAAAGAACACTGAGTATGCCTTGGAGAACCTGCTGGCCCTGTGAGGCAATGTCTGGGCTCCCCCCAGCAGTCCAGGGGAAGCCAAGCTGCTCTTCCCCCTCCTCGTCTCCCCCTGCCCTCGCCTAGGCTCCCCGACCTGGGCAGGCCTCATTAGGTTAGTCCGTCCTCTTCCTGTGCAAAGATCAACACCCACTCTCTCCCCTTGGGGGAGGCATTTTCTCTCCCAGCTGTCCACCATCCTTCAGCGATTACAGGCCTCCCCAACTTTCTGGCTGAACACCACATCCCCTCCTGAAGCTCAACGTGCTGTGGATGACAAGGGTGATGTGAGGTGAAAGCTGGTCAGCCCGGGGGAAGACACTGGATGCCCAGCCTCTGCTTGGGCAGTCAAGTGACAGGGAGTCCCTCCACATCCTAAGAACCTGGTTCTGTTGTAGGGTGTTTCCAGTTCTTAGAAAATCTTTTCATGAATGAAGTCTGCTTTCCTATGATTTCTACTCTGTCAGGCCTGGTTCTGTTCTCGGAAAGAAAACAGATCGACCATTTATCCCTCTTTTCAAACTAGAGAATAAAAATTTGGTTTTAGAACTGGTGGCCAGGGAGTGTTCTTTCCCTGGGGGCTGTGGGGTTGGTGGGCAGAGCCGGTGGGCGAGCTCGGCAGCAGGTGTGCCATGCACATGTCCGAGTGGGGCAGCAGGTGTGTCACGCACAGGTCCGAGTGGGGCAGCAGGTGTGCCACGCACACGTCCCAGTGGGGCAGCAGGTGTGCCATGCACACGTCCGAGTGGGGCAGCAGGTTTGCCACGCACACATCCGAGTGGGGCAGCAGGTGTGCCATGCACACGTCCGAGTGGGGCAGCAGGTGTGCCATGCACACGTCCGAGTGGGGCAGCAGGTTTGCCACGCACACGTCCGAGTGGGGCAGCAGGTGTGCCACGCACACGTCCCAGTGGGGCAGCAGGTGTGCCATGCACACGTCCGAGTGGGGCAGCAGGTGTGCCATGCACACGTCCGAGTGGGGCAGCAGGTGTCAGCAAGCTTTTCCTTTTCTGTCTCCATCATTTCGCCTGGGGCAGATTCCAATCCAGTTTTGTCTGGCTCTTGGCCATTCCCTCCCTCAAACTTACTGGGTGAATGCCAGCATCTGGTTAAAAAGTGTCACCTGTGTGTTTGATGTTGTCACTGAAACCAGAGGATTACAAAAATAAAGTCCAGTCCCTCCCTGAGGTGGTCTGGGCTGAGGAAGACAGTATGGGTCTGATGGGCAGCCGAGGAAGGAGGCCCACAGCATCCAAACTTCATATTGGCTTATGGGATTAAGGGCCCCTTGAAGTCCCGGGTAGTTGATTGGCAGAGCCTCGGGCAGGCCCTCACTTCCCCGTGTCCTCTCTGATGGACCAAGGGACATATAGGGAGGGGAGTCATCTGGTTAGGATCAGGGGCTGAACCCTCCCTCAGGAAGAATCTTCAGCTAATATCTTTTCAAAACTCCTCGAACCCAAGCTCTTTCTCTCTTTTTTAATTAATGTATTTATTCAAGAGGCAAAATTACAGAGAAAGAGAGAGAGGGCCCACACTTCTTCCACCTGCTGTTTCACTCCCCAAATGGACAGAGGAGTTGGGTTGATCCTAATTCAGGAGCCAAAAGCCAGGCGCTTCTTTCTCTTTGCACCATGAAGACTTTGAGGAGTATTCATATTTTCAGATGTGCATATGTAACCTCCCTGTATTTCCTTAGTAGAAAGTCAGAGCACGTCTTTCTACCCCCTGAAGACCCTTGGTCATGGAAGGTCAAGCTGGAGGAAGGGGACTGTCCCAGGCTCACACTTGGCAGGCAGCAGAAGATCAGGAAGCAGGAATGAATCTTGCAACCCTCTGTGGAGGTTCCTGGAGGTCACTCTAGAAAATAAAGATGCCCAAGAGACCCCCAGAGGAGTTAACGGCTAAATGAGGTGATCCCAGTGCCAGCTGATAGGCTTTTATGCTTTATAAGTGTGTCTATAGATGGTACAAGCAAATGCAGTGGTAACAATCCCAGCAGAGGAGATAGGTAGTTAGGAAATGATTAACTATGTTACTGGAGGAATAAGTCAAAGTTCAGAGATAGTAAAGCCTCTTTTGCAAAAACTGTACACAAAGTTGCAGCCAACATGAATGGCACCTCAACTGGCCCTGAGGTTTCACTATGGGACTGAAGCTAAGCAGCAGCTGGGCCTCCAGCCAAGGCTCGCTCACTCTGCTGTCCAATGGTTAGCTGGAAGAGCGGCCACCTGCTTCCCAGTGAGGTTTGTAGGAAGCCGGGGAGAGAGGCCCAGCTTCTGTGTGTAGCAGCCTCCTGTCCCAGGGCTGTTTCTAACTAGCCTGGGAGTCCTGCCCAGTGGAATTGACCTAGCTGTACCCCACTTGAAACAGAGGCGTGAGGAATTTTTTTTTTTCCTTGCAAAGGGAATATGAAAGAGATAAGAGGTGTCTAAGACCAAAAATACTCCCTCGGTTGGCTTGTCGGGGTCCAAGTTAGCAGCTGGGAGATGAGTCACCCCTCCACCCCAGGAAACGTGAAACTGGACCCCCATAACTGAGCCTTCCCAGCTTCTGTACCCTCAGCTGGAGACACAATGGATGGAGGGTCCCTGTGGGTGGAGGAGGGACCCACTCTCTCCAGTGGAGAGAACTCTAAGTGGCATTTGTCCCGCACCGAGGCAACACCACCTCTGCAGCACATGGGCACGGACGTGAGGCACACATCTCTGCGTGTTGCACACGCACCGTACATCGTGCCACTGACTAAACAGTTTTAAGGTGAGAAAGAAGATGTCATCAGAGCTGACAGCGCGCTGGAAGATAGGCAGGGATCTCAGCACAGTGCGCGCACTGCGGGAATTAGCATGTTGTGGGCACTTAGGGAATAACCGCTGAGCGCACTGGGCGGAACAGAACGAGCGCTCCCAAGCACGCAGTGTGAAGAACATGCAGGAAGCAGACCGCAGGCTCGCTGGGGTCTCAGGCTCGGCAGGCAGGGGCTGCCTGCCAGTGTGCTGCCCACGCAGGGCCGCGACCTCCTGGCCACGAACCCGTTAACTGTGCCCACACCCCCCAGATCCCCGAGGGGGCGAGGTCAGCAAGTCCGCGTCCCAGGCTATTGGTTCTGGAGAACAAAGGGCCGCCCCGCGGGCTGCTCCGATAGGACCGGTCAGGTCATCTGAGAGGCTGAGCCAATCGAGTAGCGGCGCGGCCCTGGGGAGGACCAGGCCTGTCAGCCAATCTAGCGAGCACGCTCGCCCCCCGCCTGCCCCCCAGCGACTGGCCAGGGTTGGTGCCCGGTGCCCAAGTCGCCCCCGGGGTGGCAGTTCCCGTTAACCTTAGCCACACAGTCAAAGGTATTTATTTCCCTGGCCCCTCCCTCCTAGTCCCTCTGCTTTTCGGGCGGGAGGGGGGCGGTGCGAAGAGTGGCCCGGCGCCCGGCCCTGCTCCTGCGCTGCTGGCAGCCGGCCCCGGCTGGAGCGCAGAGGCGGGGGCAGGGACCTCTGAGTCCCCGCGCGACCCCAGTCCTTTGGACTCCAAACTTTCCTCCACACCAACCAGGGCCTGTACCGGGGGTACGGGTGGGTCTGCAAGCTAGTGCAAGCAAGGTCAGGAGGGAGGCTAGTGAGGGCGCAAGGACCGAGGGCTGACTGAGCAGACTGGGTGGTAAGAGGAGGGAGGGTCGCCTGCGTTAGGCCTCTCCCGAGCTGTCCGGTTGTCCGGTTGTTTTGGGTTCCCCGGCTGTGGCTGCCCCCTCCACCCCACCGCTAGAGACCAGCTCCTGGACAGGGTCTCCAGAGCTGATTGCAGAATACCTCATAGCAGGTGCGCAATAACTGTGATTACAAGCGTGGGGCTAGGGTTGGGGTCAAGAAGAGTGGGAGGAAAGCCACATCCAGGTTACAAGTGTGTACCTGTCAGGAAGTGTCTCCAAAGTCTCAACTCCAGGAACTGGACACAGCAGCCGGGTGTCAGTGGGGTAGGGTGGGATGGGGTGGGGTGGGGACTTCTTCCTTTGTGGAGGTAATAGTGGGGGATATAGAGACACTGTCCTTTGGGCAAGATGGAGCCTGGAGTGGGTGTTGGAGCCACAGCTGGAGATGGGTGTGGTCAGAGCCCCGAGGTCGGATGCCGAATGACAGTCCAGTACCCACTGTCAGCTGTTCCTTTGGGTCCCTGTGTCCATCATAACCTTTTAGCCCCAAGATTCCATGATTACAGGCTCCAAACTGTTTTGGACTGAAATTCATTTAAAGGTTTCTTCGTGGTCATTTTTATTAATGGTTTAGACTATATGTAGGGCCTGTGCTACATGGGAGGAGAGACTGCTGTATCAAGGTGCCTGTAGTCTTGCTGAGACAGATAAAATATTGTCAATGATAATGATGTTCTGATGGAGGTGTTATGAGGCTGGGTGGTTCTGCAGAGAAGCCTGGCTGAGGCTGACGTATTAGCACAAGCACCCTGGGCGAAGTGGCAGCTGATCTGGGCTGGGCAGAGTTTGGTGGGGGTGTTTCAAGACTGGTCCTAGGCATGCAGACTTGGGAGCAGGTGGCAAGTTCAGGAACCCCCTTTTTTTTTTTTTTTTTTTTTTTTAGTTTTAAAGTAAGATTTATTAGAAAAAGTTGAGAAAGGAGACTCCCATCCTAGTGATGGGAGGGGACCTTGCGATCCTCTGCCATCATGGAAGGAGAAAAAGCAAGAGAGAAAAACCCTAGTTCTCTGCCATAATGGCAGGAGGAAAAGAAAGAAGGCCCAGGAACCCAATATTAAAGAGCATGGAGGACAGTGGGTCAAAAGGAGCAGGGGCCAGACTTTGAGTGGCCTTGCTAAGAAATGTGCAGCCAGATCTGAAAGTGTAGGGGCTATGATTTGTTTTTAATCAAGAATGAGATACCATGGTATTAAGTCAGTTTAACTTTTGCACGTATATGTCACGCTGGGCTGAGAATGAAGAAGGTGATTTAGCTTTAAGGCACCCATCCCTTAAGCAGGACCAGAACCATGTCATGTCAAAGTCGTCATCCCCATCAGACTTCTGCCACCCACACGCCGTAAGCCAAGTAGAAGCATGTCCACGTTTGAGTGTTCGAACGTTTACCTTTAGTCCTGGGTGGCCACCTGAAGTGAATGACTGTTGGAGTCCCTCAAGGGCACCAGTGAGGTCTCCATTGAGGCATCAGAGGTGTCCAGGGCTTTCCTGGGCTGTAGCATCCTGGATCAAGGAGCCCTGAATAGGTATAGAAGACCCAAGATCTGGCTTTTAAGCAGTATCCTCTCTGGGTCTGAGTTTGCTCACCCAACAAGGGCATACACCTCTTATGTGTCCTGAGGTCCTTTGAATCCAGTAAGGGGTAACAAAAATATTTATGCATGAAAAGGGGATACTGTTCAAAGGGTTGTTGAAGGTTGGTTTTGCTCTCTGCTTTTAGAACATAACATAGGGTCACCCAGTCCTGGGGAGGGCTCCTGAGTATCAAATCTGAGGCTAAGGAACCTTCAGTTCACCTCTGTCCTCTAATAGCAGGTGCTGAGTGTAGACAGAGGTGGGGGTGGAGCTTGCAGGG